CCCCCCCAAAAAATAAAACCCCCCAAACCCCACCTTTAAAATTCCCCGGGAACTGAGAAAATTTTTTTTTTTTTTTTTTTTTTTTTTTTTTTTGTTTTTTTTTAGATCTTTATGAGAAATTTAAGAAAAGCATGTATGGTTTTCTTTCAATTTTACATTTGTGCAGTGCTTTGTGTTGGCCTATCGAATTTCATCAACAAACACAGAAGCAGGTGGTTGTAATGTGACAAAATGCGAAAATGTTGAAGTGCTCCGGACACTTCAGCAAAGCTCTGCAGGTGCGTGGAGCTCAAAAAGCATGAGAACAGAATGTGTGGAGATGGTTGCCTTAGTGTAGATTCTCTGCTGTTTTGCAGACTTAGTCACAGAGATATGTGATTTTTTATTTTTAAGCAACACTTAATGGGTTTCATCTCTGCACAAATTGCAAAAACAAGCATTAATCATTACTAATGTGAGCAAAGATGTCAGGACTCTGCTTACAGCTAAATTGCAAGGAATATCAAATGACATGCGCAAAAAAAAAAGAAAAAAAAAGAGCACATCAGAATGTTTATTGGATTAAAGCTTGACACGGAAACAATCCCCCATTGCAGAACGCATGAAAACAACACTGACAAGAGTGGGGGGGGGAAAAACCACATTCACCAGATGCCTCTTTTCTGTCCTTCACAGCAGTCTGTGAGAAGGAGCCAGTCTTCTCTGTTGCCCTTGCATCAGCTGAAATAGACCGATCTATGCATTACCTAAATCGCCTACTCCCAACAGAGATGACAAAGATGGTAACCCAAATGCTATATTTGGTCTTTGCTGTGTGTTTTTAAGTGGCACAGGAGTAGTCTTTATTTGTCTGAGGAGCTGCTCTAAGATGGTGAAAACCTCTCGGATTAGCAGGTGAGTCCTCTGAGTTGTCCGTCTGCATTATGCGGCACGCGGGCTCGCATTGATCTGTCCCCACAAAGGCCGCGCCGGAGCCCGCTCAGCTGGCGAAACAGTGCAGCAGCCTCTGACGTGCTGCGAGATCTGTGAACGAGAGATAAGGAAAGCCACCACAAGAGGCAAATGGAAAGAGAAATCATATATATATATATATATATATATATATACATTAAGCATACACAGATATATTTATATGTAACACATGCTGATAATGCAATTTTAGTTGGAGGGTGGACAAAACAAGTGTTAAAGTTTGTGAAGGACAAAGGACACGTAGGCTTGCATTTTGGAGCAGCAGTGACTTTGGTCTAATCCGTCATTACTATTAGCCCCTAAATGCTGTACTTTTTGTGGGGGAAAAAAAAAAAAAAAATGCTAAATCCTAATCCGTCTGTGCTGCCTCTTTCTTCTCAGATGTCTGCTAATTAAAGCCACAATAATGATGCCTTTCAACATCCCCAACTGTTTTCACTTTATTTTTTTGTCGAAACGTTTGGAGATAATTGTTTTTATGCTCTAGATAGAACATCTTAAAAGGGTAATGTTGCAATAAAAAGTTGAAATAAATCGTATTCAGTTTACGTAGTCATGCCAAAAAGTATTTTCTCCTCAAGCACAGAGTTTTAAAAGTAAAAAAAATAATAATAATAATTAAAAATACACGTTTCTACAATGTTGGATGAAGGTGAAAAGAAAATCATGATTGGCAGTAGACAGGAAAAAAAGGAAAACAGGAGAAAATATGTCTCAAGGAATACCCTTCACTTTTCGCTGTTATTTCACGTTATTGAACAATGGTGAAAAGCTTTCTTGCTCAGTGGAAACAGGTTTTTTTGTTTTTCTTTTTTCCACCAAACCAGTTGAAGTAGAAGTAGAGCCAGTTCTTAACTGGTTCCATTTTTCACAGCCAGAGAGCCAGCTTGGTGCTACGGCATTACTTTAATTGAAATCTCTCTTCCAGTAAATGTTTGATCCTCCCTCTGTTATATTCTAAATTTCTGCGCAGATCATATTGCATCGAGACCGTTTATATCTTTCACATTATTCCAAACATTTATGTTAATATCATCAACTTAATTTATTAATGTGAAAACAACAGTCTTGTTTGTGGATACTTTACATAGTCATAACCAGCTGCTCTCTATTTACAGGTTTAGAAACTGTAATTAGGCAGGGTTCATTAAAATAACTATAATTTTAAAATGCAGAAACTGTTTGATTTGGAAATGATTTTCACAGCTACAAAAAGCAATAACTCTTTGACATATTCCCCAATCAAAATAAGCTTATTTCATTGCTAACCACAATCAATGATGCTCTTAATGTTTTGATTGATTATCAGTTTTCATGAGCTTTACCTTTAGCTCCTGACAAAAACAATTCCTTTCTTTCACCCAGTAAAGGTTTTGTGCCAAGATGACTTTTACCTTGACAAGGTTGGTGCCTCTGGCTGTGGAAAAAAGAACCAGTACTGAGAAAGTACTGGTTCACCAAGTCCTGTTTAGTAATGGAATTGGCTGCTTTGGCTATAATTGGGACTTGAATATTGTAGCAAAGCAGAGAGAAGTTTTTGGGTAGGATTTTTTTTTTTATTCATGTACATTATGCATACAAAGCACACGGATGTGAATTAGAGATGCACCGAGGAGAGTTTGTGGATTATTTCCGATTGGAATTGGCATTTAAACTGTCTTAATTGTAAACTAAACACTGTAAGCAACAAACCTTTGCATTGAGTACTCAAATAAAGTTGAACTAATACCTTAATTTTGAGAATTAAAAAATCTACCAGGCATTTTTAGCCATTTATGTGAAATGTATTTATTTTTTTGTGACATTTAACAGATAATTCTTGAAAGAAAAGTTCCAGCTCCCTGGGTCTAGCATAATCAAAATGCTAATCATTGTAATAAATAACTCTGACAAGTAAAGTGAAGGGCTATGGAGCTGGAAAAAAACGCCAGGAAGAAATAATAAATGAGTGAGTAAAGGCCTTTTGCAGTTCATAATATTAGTGGGTTTCAGTTGGCTATTGAAAATCAGCTTTTTTCTGCCTTTATATTATATTAGAATATAAAAATACTTTACATGTTTATTGAGAGTTGGCACTAACCTGTTTGTTGTGCTTTTGGAAATATGTGATAGTATAAAGATTGTCATCCTTTCCCATGTTGAGTGCATTCTCAACCTGCAATAGATCATTAAAATAGTTGAATATGAAACTACTGACCCCTCAGCATATAAAGAGCGAATAAAAAAAAACTTCAAAATTTGTTAATTGGATTCTAAATCAGCGACAGAATTCCTGCAGTTCATCACTTGATCTAGAAATAGTAGTTTCCTTTTATGTTGCTTCTTTTTGCTGCTCATTCATCCCTAAAATGAGAAAAATCTTCCATCTGATACAGCTTCCACACTGAAAAGTTTTGTGCTGTTTGCAACCTTGTATCAGATTTACTGCATTTGTTTATTCATGAGAAAAAACTTTTTTTTGTGTGTATTTCAAAGCAGTTGGTCGTGATGGCGATCATTCTGTTCCAGTTGCCATCAGATTTCTCGGTGCATCTCTAATGTTTATTCACAGAATGTGAACATGAACAAACCAAACCAATTATTTCCTGAAGCTTCCCCAGAACAAAAAAAAAAAAAAATCAGCCAATTTACATCTTCCTAGTTCAATTAGAAATTGACAATGGTTATTTTCCATTGTCTGACAATAAAAACAAATGACCTTTATAAGGCCAAGTCAGAAGGATTCTAAGTAGCGATGCAAAGTAGTTTTGTTCAGCGGTTTAGTTTGCTTCTTATTTAAAAATAGAAAGCTGGTAGATTATGGGTGGGACGGGCAGCTTATTTCCACAGTGTTTCTCCTCTACTGGGACTCTACAGGTCTGAGCCAGTTATCTCTGCATTTCCACTCACTGAGATTTGGGTGGAAGGCGCAGCAAAGTAGGAAGCACACGTTCAATAGTTGGCCGCCTCTATGAAAGGGCAGGAACGACACCTCTCCTAATCCACACGAGTGTTTTGAAATATCGTCATAGACTTAATTCACCGACTGGTGTGTTCGCGAGGCAACCACCTTGACCTGTTTTCTCTGCCAGCGTTTCAGAAAGATGCGGATTTTCGTTGCCCGGTGCACTACTGAAACTGGCGGTGCGAGGAGGCTAAATGTTTTGGTCAAAAGACCTTTCTTCAGCTTTGTAGCAGAAAAGCTGGAGGAGGAGGAGACCAACTGGATCTTAATCCAGTCGCAGTTAGAGAGAGAGTGAAAGAGAAAGCTTTGTACTGTACATACACAACCCAGCCATCTAAAGAAAACGTGAATCACTCGTAGGTTTGTGAAAAGCAAGTACAATATGCATAAGAATGAAGGCAAAGTAAAAAAAAAAAAACAACAACAACCTGCAGGCCATCCAAGCAGCAACAAAGCACATTGCAGTACAATTTAGTTTGACTCGGTGTGATTCCACCGTTGAACACCAGAGTCTGAAACCCTTCTGTCACACCTTCTTTATTCTGTCATGTATTCAGATATTGTTTGTTTTCTGGAAGATGATTGTACATATCAGAGATTTGCAGCCGACTAAAAGCCAACTTTTTGTTCTCTCTCTCTTTCTCTCCCTTTCTGGTGACTCGGTTGATGCATAGATTGGCCTGTCATGTAGATTGCACAGCCGCAGTGTGGGTGCACACAGCAGCTCTTTGTCTGCTATGCAGACTGGGCTTTGGCTGAATCCTGTGAGTGAGCAGAGGCTCAGTCACTGGCTTTGCGATGGCACACTCTATCAAAAGCCTACGTGTTGGCAAGCAAGGACCCTCCCAGGGGTAATTATGTTCATTCCACACTCAGAGCTGCAGCATTAATAGCCTTGTTCAGCTGTACATGTGAGTAGATTTCTGCAACCTGGCCCTTCTGAAAGTTTTAACTAATGACTAAAATGGGACAATAGTGGTAATGTAAGTATTAATGAGTAATATAAATGACTTACTGTGCAGCACTAACACACTGATGAGAGCCGTTTGTGTTTATTGGCACAGTGGCCTCACGGTTGCAGGTGACGTATGCCGTACAATTTTCAGCTGACCTACTGAGATGTTGCTGTGTCTCACATGTGTATGTGCATTACAGAAGAGGTAAGGATACAGAACAGAGGCGTACAGGAATGTAATTCTCACCGTTTTGCTCTACATAGTCTGCATATGGCAATCCTCTAAGGATTTTATTCATTGTCGCCTGCAGTAAGGTGCCTCGTTACTTTGCATTTACTTTCCCATTGGGATGAATTGTGTCGCTCCTTCCCTTTTATAGAGCTGTGCTAAATCAAAGTCTAAATATACAGAGCCTTGTAAAAAATATTCACATCCTTTTGCGCATTTTTATCAGTTTACAACAACCAACTGTAATGCATTTCATTGAGATTTTATTTGACAGCTCAACACACAAGATCATGTAATTTTGAAATGGAAGGAAGGAGATAAACATGGTTTAAATTGTTGGAACAAATGAAAGTTCTTAAAGTGTGGCATGCCTTTTAAGCCCAGCTGTTCAGTGAAGGCCTCAGAGGTTTTTAAGTGGACAACAGTGAGCAAACTTCATCATGAAGTAGAAAACACAACAGATCAGGGATGAAATTAAAGAGAAGTTTAAAGCAAAGTTAGGTTATGAAACTACAAGGTGATCGAAGGAGCTCTGGTTAGAACTACTAGAACGCAGGGTTGGACATAGTGGTGGCAACATTATGCTGCGGGAATACTTTATTGTAGGAATGACAGGAAAGCTGGTCTGAGCTGATGAAAAGTCGGGTAGAATTAAATACAAGACAAGATAATGTTTTCAACATTTCATTGTGCCTGAGCATATAACGAGGGCTACATTGGGAAGACTCAGGTTTAAGCAAAGTTGGTTGATGGAGTCTAATCGGAATTCAGTCCTAAGTCCAACTGGGACTCTGTGGCAAGACTTGAAAAGTGATGTTCACCAATGTTTACCTGAACCTCAGTGAACATGGAGAAATCAATACAACTACACACCACACCTTTTAGGTTTTTAAATGCACCATTAGGTTTTGCTCTGTGTTGAAATGTCATCTAAAATCTTCATAAAATGACACAAATATATTTTTTCTATTCATTTTTTTTAAATATGCCGCAAGGTTAAAAAGTTGAAGGGCTAGGAATATATTTGCAAAGAACTTCAAAAAATCAACTGTGCATCTGCAAAGCATAATAAAAATCGGTGAATGAACTTTACCAGAGTGCGGTTTATTTATACGAGGGGTTTTCAATACACGGCAGCCTCTATGTATAGTAACACATCCCAAACGTCTGCATCTAGTAAACATACAATATGTGTTCCATTAGAAAAAAGCATCTGTGTGAGCAACTACCTGTGCGGGTTGCGCCGGTCAAGATGTTTTTTTCTCTCCTTGCCTCCCCTCTCCTCCCTTGAGATGTTTGTCTGTTTGAGTTTAATTTTCCCCTTATATTTTAGTTTGAACTTTGACATCCGTACCTACCCCCAAGGATGTCTGTCACAAACTGCAGTCCAACATTGTGACAATGCTTTTGTTCTCCCGAACCTCTTTATGAACTTCCTGTTTTCGTATCCTTTTTTCTGTTCTTTCCCTCAAGGTCTGGCGCACCTGATGTTAAACCGCCAAGGTATGGGGTCTATTGTTTTGCTTTTCCCTCCCAGCCACCTGAACACCCAGAGATCATTCAGTTTACTGTGCTGCACTAATATTTCCTCTCCTCTTTTTGTTTATTTTTTACATATACTTGCCTGTTCATTTTATGCTTCCTCTCATGTTATTCTCACTACTCACTCAATATTTGTCCGTCAAACCCTTGTCCTGACCACTGACTGATCTACTGGAACATCTTCATCTCTGCAGTTTTACGCCAAGGTAATGCTTCTAATGCTAATAGAATTTATTTGGTTTGGTTTAATGGTGTTTTCAGACGATTCAGTGATGATGCGCAAAGGTTTCACATCCCAAAAGTAGCTTTAGCACGTTCAAAACAATCAGGACAGATAATTGTATTCTGGTAGGAATAGATTCTTGCATTAGGTTTTTGCTACTTTTCATTCTCAGGGTTTCATTTCAAAACTACCCAGATTTCTCAGTGAGTTGCTTATGATCATTGATCAGCAGGGGATTTCAAAGCACAAATGGAAGAGAAATCTTTACCTTGGGGAGTTTCGCTAATAAAGAGCTAGCAGCCCAGTAATACACACTTGGCAATGCTGTTATTTATCATTTTTCACACTCTGTAGAACGCTTAAATTAAAATAAAGCCATAGCAGTGAGAGTAAAACCTTGGAAGGCAAACATGCATCTGCTGCTAAACTGGGAAAAAATATGACCTAAATTAATTCTGAGATGCGTTTACCATGCTAAGAAAAAGTATTTGCTCCCTTACAGTTTTCTTCTGTTTTGCGTTTTAGTCGATTTAAAATGTTTCAGATCATGAACATTTTTTGTATATCAAAGATAACCTCACTCAAGAACTCACTCAAGTAGCAAAAGAGACCCATAACATTGAATGCACCGCAGGCCTCACTTACATCAATTATGTAAGGTCAGTATTGACGATTCAACAATATGAAAGAGACTTTTCAAAATGGCATCCAGGGGAGAGTTCTGAGATGAAAACCACTGCTGGGCGAAAAAAAAGAAAACACAATGTCTTGTTTTAGACTTACCAAAGAAATTATCTTTGTTTCCCAAGATTTTTTTTGGAAAATGTTGAGTGGAATGATGAGACAAAAACGGAAACATTTTGGGAAGTGTGTGACCTGTTAGGCATAAAGAACATCACACCAGACTAGCAGTGTTAATGTCTGGAACTACCTTGCTGCTTTATTTTGATGAAACCACAAATTCAGATCAGTTTGTGACGTTAATCTGAACCACACTTAGGTTATGCAGGAGAATAATGATCCAAAGCACATCAGTAGACCTAGCATTGACTGGTGCACAAAATTAAATACATAAATAAATGGAGATTTTGGAGGCACTTACTCAAAGTCTGGCCCATAAATGTGATTAAGGTGAGGTTGCATAGTCTTAAGGAGACTTTTTGTGCTCAAAAACCACCAGTGTGGTTGAATTAAAATAATTCTGCAACTGAAAGTGCAACCAAATTTCCTCCACAGCAATTTAAAAGACTCATTGCCACTTATAGGAAATGCTTAATGGTTATTGCCTCCTAGGCTGCACAACCACTTAATGGAGCTAGATGGCTGTCACTATTTCCACAAGAGGGCATATGAAGGGTTAGTTCACTTCATCTCCCTTTTTTAATTAAAATCATAATTTAAAAAAATGTATTATTATTATTATTATTATTATTATTATTATTATTATTATTATTGTTGTTGTTGTTGTTGTTGTTGTTGTTGTTGTTGTTGTTGTTGTTGTTGTTTGTGATTGTCTTACCAAAATTCCTCCACAGCAGTTTAAAAGAATCATCACCAGTTGTAGGAAACACTTGATGGCAATTCTCAAACAGTCAGTATGTTTAAGGGACAAATACTGTTTCACATAGAAACAAGTTGGTTTGGATAGCTTACACCCCAAATAAATGAAATCGTCCTTTGAGAACTGCAGTTTCTATGGAGGTTATCTTTGTCTAATGTTAAATTTAGCTTGATGGTCTGAAATATTTAATTGCGCCAAAAAAATCTCAAAACAGAAGAAATCTGTAAGGAGACAATCCTTTTATAAAGCACTGTCTGTACATGTAAATTCAAACACATATAGGCATTTAGTTTTGAAGCATGTGCTGTACCTTCAGGTTTTCCTCGTGTCTCCATGGCTGTCTGTATTGCCTTATTGCCTTGAAACCTACTTGAGACATGGCTTTGATGACCCATTCTGTCCAAGTCCTCGAGAAAATGAGTTACCTAAGCAGAAAAGAAAAGAAAAAAACACTGCTGTTGGGTTATCGTTACACTTCCTGTGTTCTTTGCATTTTTTTTTAACTCAATTTCCCCAGAGACATAAAACTGAATAATCTGCAGCTGTGAACTGAAATTGCTTTGTCTGTCATCTTGTGTTATTTTCACATCCTCTGAAAAAAGAGGGCGTGGCGGCACTCTCAATGTTCTCATGTACATGTTTTGTGTTGAGCTGATTATGATATCAAGGCTATTCTGATTAAATTACTTAATCAAATTAGACCGGTTTATCTGCACCTACAAATTATGCAGCTAGAGGCCAAGCACGGGTCTGATATGTTAGATTGAAGTCTGCTTTTATTGTTTTCTAATTGTGGAGCCCATTTTTGCATGTTTAAGGGCAGTTAAGCTGCCCGAACGCTGTGACTGAACACGCTGAATGCTTCCACATCCTCTGCTTTCTCAGAATAACTGCTCTATAGCTGATTCAGGACATTGTACAGTAAGTGTGTCCCAGAGCCACACACAATATGAGTTACCATGAACTGAAGAATGGGATATGTAATTGCTTAATTTCATGCATTAATGTAAAAGAGAAATTCATTTTAGAAGGAAGATTTACAGAATTGTATCGGCGAGTGATAACCATAACGCAGCCCACAGTTATTAAAATGATATCATAGCATGTACATGAGACGTCAAATTTTTATTCAGATGTTAAATGTTTGAAGGAACATTAGTTATTAGCAATTACCCAGCTTTAGCCTTAGGGGCTGTTCGAGATGGACTTCTGATACGATGTGATAGATTCATGCAAACCTCGGGAGGGTGAATATTGGCTGGTGTGCACAGAAATCCTTGATGTAATGCAAATTGTAAAATCATTCAGACACCAATGGACTGTGCTGGTAAGCTACATTTTTTTTAAATCTCTCCTTATCTGCAGTCGCCCATTGTTAAGATGATTGTCCAACTGTATGTGAACACTGCTTTTCTTCATGCGCTTACCCTTGCGAATTAGATTATGGGGCTGCTCCATTGACAGAAACTTTGCTTTAAGGTTAATATTAATGAACATATGTGTTCATTATTGTGGTCAAACATGCAGAGGAAATGAGGGTAGGAAAAATAAAGTCACAGTTACTCAATTACGAACTCCCTAAGCTAATTCTTTGTTGAAGGACTTGCTGTTTCAGTTTCAGCATGCTCTTTTCTTTCGTAGGAATTTATAAACGTCACAGATCTTCGCCGGTAGAGTGATCAATATCTGATCGCTCTCTAATGTGAAATTTCTACAAATCCTCCAGATCTTGACAGCATCTCCTGAGGAGACCCCACAATTTTCCTGTCAAATTTAGCTGTGAACATTTTGAAGCATTCTGTTTGTGTGTTCAGGTGTATTCTAAGTCAATTATTTGAAGATGTTTTTGATGCATAAAGCATTTTTATAACAACTGAAGGCAAGACAGTTACTTGATTGTGGAATAAAATGGCACTAGGCCTGGAAAATACATCACGCCTCTCATTTAAAAACGTTTACACTTTTCCTGCAGACACCTGAAAGGTTTTTGGCGTCTAAATTGATAATTGAAATGATTCACAATTTCAAACACTTTTACAGAAACGTCATATTTCACATTGGGTATGATGTTTCTTCTTATGGAGTTGTGGTCTAGGGGTTTAAGGCCTGAGTGTTTTGTTTTAAAGGAAGTGATTCTATTTTTTCAAATGTACATCTTATTCCAGACATATCAAATATAACAGGGACTGTGGTCATATGTAAAATACAAACAGTACATGACCTAGATTTTTACAGCTTCTTCCATTATGTTATTGGCCTCTTAAACTTCCCTGACATGCTTACATCTCGTCTTTTCCTTATTTTTGAAAAACATCCAGTTTTTATTGTCTTTTTGCTGTTTTTTTTTTTTTTACTCTTTGCTGCACCGTGGTGTATAAAATGTTATAAAATGGCCCTTGTCTTCTTCTCACACACCTTTAAACAATAAGATCATTTTAAACTTTTGACTCCGTACGCAAACTCCAAGTAAAGGTCATGAAAATCCATCTAGGACAGCTGATCTTTATTTCTGTTTAATCAAATTTACTTTAGTTGATGTGAGGCGTGAACCCAAGAGCAACGAATGTTAAAACTGAACCAAAAGCTACTTTAGTTAATTTAAGGATAGGACAGGATATATGTTGTGTTAAAACTATAAAACATTTGTAAATTATTTAGAATGTTCTAATTCCTTTAAGTCGCAGAAAAAGTGAGTTAGCTGTACTTGGCCCACAACATCAAATGTTTTTTTTTTTTTGTAATATTTCAACAAAGGCAGCTAAAAGTAAAGCATACACCGTCTTTTTACCCGTTTACTTATTTATTAGAAAAATAAATCTTACATCTTTAGATGTAAAATGGCCTTGAATGAGATACTTTTTTTAAATCCAACAGCGGAAATGTTAATGAATTGATACAATTATCAGTTCACAGGCAGTTTTATATTCTAGACAATGCTACAATGTTGTTTCTTTTGGGAAATTAGGATAGTTACATGCTAGACAAAGACAAATATCATAGCAGTCCTCTTTATGATGATTCCAAATAAGTGAAATATATGTATTGTAACACATTGTTGCATATTTTTCCCATTTTTCAGTGGGATATGATCCCTCTAATTGCTTTTATTGTGTTAAACAAAATGTGAAACCAATAATGTTTGAGGCCTCTCTTTTTGCAAGTAGCTCAATAAATCAATTTTTGGGCACACACACACACACACACACACACTGGCAACAATGGCTTTCATAGAGTGCAGATGTGGTTGAAGATCACCGAGAAGGCAAATTGCTGACACAAAAAACGAGTAAGACATGACATCCAGTTGAGAAGTAGGAGAGATTCCTGGAGACTGTTGGTGTTTCCATTACATTCTGCTGAGCTTTCATTTTCTATCGAAGGGTTCTTCAATGTGCATCTTGGTTCAGCACAATGGTCTCATGCTTAATTCCAAGAGAGTTTGAAAGCAAAGCCTCCCCCCATCTTATTGCCTCCAGTCAGCAGCAACGTACAAAAAAAAAAAACTGCTTGGAAAGCATCTTTTGCAGTAACGACTACAGCCATCGTCTTAGGAAGCGTTTCGACAGAGTTAGCGCCAAAGTCTGTGTGGTGTTCAGACAAAAAGAAAAACACTATATTAAATTCTTCTCATGCTGGGAAATTTTTTTGTTTCTGCAGATATTAGTCCACTTTCTAGATAGGCTGCCTATGTAATTACTCATAATCCCTTATAGAAGACCTTCAAGATGGTGTCATGGTCATGGACATTTACATGGCAAGAAGTTGTAATGAAATAAAAAAAAGATTGCACTAGTTTTGGTTTCATTTCTTAACGATTTTTATTTATTTTATTTTAGCTTAAATTATATAGTATCTACTTCTGGTTTGTTTTGTTTTTGGCAAGAATGCATTATCAGTAGGGAGCCTCACTGATAATTTATCAATTTGTTGTGTGCCCAGTGTTTGAGCACCTACGTAGCCTGAACAATAGAAAGTAATGGGGCCCAGTCAAGCCACAGCCTTAAATTGGCCCTGGAGCATCGGCGCTGACATTTACAGTACAAACAAACACAGGCTTTAGGGACGGCTTATCCGCCCTGCTTGAAATAGCTTCCTCAGTAGCAAACACTGCTACTATCTAAGGACGAAGCTTGAAACAGCCTACGCATTTTAAATGGGGGTATTTATTGGTTATCAACTCTTTTTCCATGTCAATGTCAAACAACAGCTTAATGGCAGAAATTATAGCGTTGGCATTGTACTGGAGAAGTTTGTCACAGTCAAGAGTGGTTGTCTCAGCATACCGTATTTATGTGGCCGTCTGTCAATCTAGCATTCGTCTATCTGTTTATCTAGCTGTCTGACTTTTTTATTATATATTTATCATGTGTTTTAGTGTTATCTACCACATATCTTTGAGCAGGTTTCGAATAGAAAGTCAAACTGCTAGAACAACAGTCAAACCAGCAAAAACGTCTTTAATCATCCTCCATATGATGCCCTCTGTAGTGTTGGGGAAAACCTTCCAACATTTCACAGTGCATCTATATCACCCAGTAAAAAGTCTTGGAAATAAATATCTGACCAAGTCAGCCACAAGTTAGTTAGTTATTCTTTCACGTTGTCTCGCAAAAGTATTCACATCCCTTGGATTTATCCTAAAGTGTATCACAAGTTTAAACTTTACCATATTGTATTGTTTTTATAGACCAACATCAAGTAGAGCGTAATGTGAAGTAGAAAGAAAGGAGGAATATCCTCAAACAGGTTGTTTTTTCAGGAGTACTCTGTATTTAGCTCCATCCATCTTCTCACTAACTCTGACAAGCGTCCTTGTCCTTCCTTTCGGATTTGTATTTGTAAACTATGTTGAAAATAATATAACACTTTTTTTTCGCTTCACAATTATGCCCTTCCTTGTTTTTGTCTGTCACATAAAATCCAATTGAAATAAACATCTGTTTGTGTTTATAACATGACAAAATGTGAAACCTTTTTGGGGATGTGCATACTCTTGCAAGGCACGATAAATGTTAATGTTGAAGAAATAGCAATGCTGTTGAATGCTGAATGTATTTTTCAGAAGGGTGAAAAAAAAGGTCATGCTTATATAGCTCGATCTCTATTGTGTTATACTCTTTACAGTAAAGTTACTTGTTTCTATTTAGTTTAAATGCATGTAGACGGCGTGTCTAAATAGCTTTGTCACGCAATATTGTCTTTTCTACTCATTTTAGTCCTTACTTTTACCCACCAAACATATTTTACTCAGCCATGCTACAGAAGTGAATGCATTCATTTTGCAGAGTCACACTTTTATCTAATTATACGGACATTTTTCCAAGATGTTTCTTTACCCCTCCCAGGGCAGCAAGAGTCGGTGGCCACCTTTAAAGGCAACGAGTTCTTCAGCTACAACCTGTCCACGACTCCCATTCAGAGCAGTTTGGACGAGATCACGCTGTCCTTCCGGACCCTGCAAAGGAATGGCCTGCTGCTCCACACCGGGAAGTCAGCCGATTATGTTAACCTGTCACTGAGGAACGGAGCTGTGTGGCTGGTCATCAACCTGGGCTCTGGGGCCTTTGAAGCGCTGGTGGAGCCTGCCAGTGGAAAGTTCAATGACAATGTCTGGCATGATGTGCGAGTGACACGCAACCTCCGCCAGGTGTGTATGCAACTGTTACCTCAGCATTCAGAGCCTGAATCAGGACTTGAATTTGAGGCACAGAAACCTCAAATTCAAGTCTTGAGCATTAGCCCAAGACTTTACTTTGGCTAATGCTCTAAAGATTCTGGAGTTTGCTAAAAAAAATTATTCAACACCTGCAAGCTGTAATGTAAATTGGCAAAGTAAGCTCCAGAGTTGGTCAGAGATGTGGATATTCTCCTGTGAAAGGGAAAGTTCTGATTTATCGGGCATGGTGGCGGTGCAGGGCATACAGCGCTGAACCCATGTCCTCAGTCCTTGACGAGACCGTCACAGGTTCGAGTCCCGGCTCTTGAACCTTTGCCGGATGTCTTCTGAGATGAAATTGTTGAGGATTTGGTTGGACTTTTCCCTTAAGGGTTTGATACTTTGACTTGAGACATAGGACTTAAGACTTGACATGAGCTTAAAATGGAAGGTTTATTACTTGAAAAGCTGATATTTAACTTTGATTCGGAAGCAATTTGAGACTGGATTTAGACTTGGAAAAAAGAAAAAAACATCTGAGACTTTAATTGGACTTAAAACAAAAGAGTCAGGTGTATTTTGACCTCTGAAACTTAACTTGATGATACACATTAATTTTGCTCCCCATTTTACTTTGTGACTAGTAGGTGAGGTGTATTTTGATCATTATTTTATAATTTATAATGAAATATATTGTCTTTTCATACTACACTTTCAATATTTTTTTTACCTCAAAGTCAATACAAACAAGCATAATTAAAAGAAAACAGCATCTCTCCATTCTAGGGGCTTACGCAAATGACTGACCTATAATGATAATAATGTTTATTATACTGCAGTAGTAATGGTTTTCCAGCAGTCTGCTCATTTTGCTACGTCTATCGTCTCTCAGATCGCCATATTTTTGTGTGCTTCAGTTTCACAAAGCACTATGAACTTGTTTTGGTATCTGCAGGCTCTGATGCAACACTGCAGCAGGATAAGTAAGTTAGACAAAAGCAGGATGGGCTTATTTAATGAATATAGCGACTATGTGTGTCCGGCATTGTTTTCCTGCATTGTTCTGCAGCCAAGTATTACTCAGCCTTAAATCTTATATATCTGAAATAATCTGGACAATGTGCTTATCTCCCAAATGTATTTAATAGTTTTTCTGTTCCCTTTAGTGCAATTGTTTTTCAAACCCACCAAATTTAAATAATTATAATGTAATGCACACTACTTGCTTGCAGTGAGAACTGTGCAAATAACTAGCCTTTGTTTCATCATGAGTAAATGGCAATAAAGGAACAAATATTTAAATACAGCGCCAATACTTTTTTCCAATCATTTTGTCTAATAACAGCAGCAATAATATATTAATAATTTTTATCATAATTATCTGTTTTATATTCATGTTTTCTATAACTTGGATTATCTACAACCTAAAACAGGGACTAACGCCTAAACCTACAGATTCATCCATCTGAGTTTGAGCTCTGTTTATATTCAGGTTTTTCTACCAAATAATTTTACCAGACAAAACATTATCAGACATTTTAAACTGTCCTCAGCCTCACAGTTAGCATCAGTAACAGCTAAGAGATTTTAGACCCTCTACATAAAATCAGAAAGTTTTATTTGGTTTATGGGTTTATGTTTTGAAAAAAGGCAATGTAAGCTAAGTGGCTATTTTTTATTCATACAGACATTTTTTTTTTTTTTCACATAAAAATCACATACAGTTAAATCCACATATTTTATCTATTAAAGTCCACTTGGGATTTTTTTTTTTACATAGAACATAATTTCATATAATTTCCAGTATTGTTGTAAATTGTACTAACTGTCTGTATACTTGTCTACATTGATTTAGCTCATGTCTGACAGTCAACTTTACTCATAGTTTCCAGGCGGCGCTTGACCTTTTCATTTCTGACTTAAAGGACTCAAAATTCATTGCAGTGCATCCATTTAAAATGTGTTAGAAAAAAAAGCCCTTCTTTGTTAGTCAAGAGCAGAAGGCTAAATCAATTCGGTCCTTTTTTTTATTTATTTAATTTATCTTAAATTCTAACTGTAAACTGTGTCACTCACTGACATTCTCTCTTTACTTAATATTTACTATAATGAATTTGCTTAAGACCTGCAGCAGATCTTACTGTG